CCGCAGCTCGTCTAGTTTGCGTTTTATGCTTTTCTTAGCACGTATAATTGCTTCCGTCGTAGCCGGCGATTCCATGGTTACATTTTACTGAACGGGCGCGATGCCGTCGCGCCTTTTTATATACACGTCGAAACCCATTCGATAACGTCCGTCGTTTAGATCGAAGTCCTTGACAATTGTTAAAAACGAGTACCGGTCGGTGTTCCAACACTGCGAGCACATGGATTTAAAGTCAGCGAACGTCATATCGGATTGACAGTGTTCCTGGTAAACGTGCCGAACGTTAGTCTCGTCCTGTTTGTACAAAACTATCATCGACGCGTTGTCCCAAATCCCGTGCTTCGGCGCTTTGACATACGTTTGCGTCAGGTAAAAGCTATCGATCCCGTTGTGCCGTCCGCGGCAAAAGTATTCGGCGATGTTTCTTTGTTTTTCAAATGCGACATCGTCAAAAACAAACACCGAATTAGTCTGTACTTGTTCGGGTGGAGGCACATGATCCCCGTCGGTGTACACGTGCATTTGCGCGCCGTCAACGCCCTCCATCACCTTCTTTAACATTATATATTTTGGCTGATCAGGTGTCTTCGTGTACAGGTATATGTGTTCGAAGCGCAGCCCGTTTTCGTCTGTCAAAAGGTTTACCATCGCCGTCGTCTTGCCGACGTTACTGGGCCCCGCGATAATACATCTGATTGAGGAGGGTAGGAGGGGACCGTGACGGCTGTGGTGGTCGTCAGCAGCGGCTGGGTCGTCGTCGAGCCGCAGAACGGTTAATTTGTGTTCTTGCGGTTCGAAAAACATTATAAAGGTGGTGTCGCAGACCAATGCCGTGTCCAAACGTAAACGGTGCGTCGTCGTCGAAGGTTCTCAGCGAACAAGATCGGTCGGGTTATCGTCACTGCGGTTATAAGCTCACTACTGTAATGCCCCGTGTCAACCGACGTAAACGGAAGGGACGGCGGTCTGCACCGAAAACCGGAGGCGGGCTGCGCTTCGGCAGTCTCGTAGCTGCCGCTCGTGCTGCGATGCGCAAAGCGAAACCGCTAACCGTCGCTGCGGCAGCGCGGAAGGCGTTATCCGCCGTCAACCCGGTCCGTCGGAAAGCCAGGGGAAAACCGGTTCTCCGACCGCGCACGTTGGCCGTGCCGAAAATCGGCGGTGCGTTCGCGCTTGTGCCTTTTCTCTCAGCCCTGTCAGCGATCGGCTCACTGCTCGGCGGTGCGTCCGGAATCGTGCGTGCGGTTAACGACATCCGCAATAACAAAAACGCGAAAGCCCCGGTAAAAATCGGAAGTGGCTATTTGTTGCACCGCAAGCGAAACGGATCCGGATTCTACCTCAAACCGTACCAGCCAAAAAACTGATAACCACGCTGCCCAGATCGCGGGCCCTGAGCGACGTGGATATTATAAATTACGCGACAAAGTTGGGCATATCTCATTTCCGCGGTGTGTTTATGCGCGACACGTTACCGGCTGCGCCCTTGCGGTTTGAGTGCGGCGTCGTTAATCTTGACGTCTCTACCGGAAGTGGTACACACTGGTGCTGTTACCACAAGCGCAACGATACCGTCTTGTTTTTCGATCCGTTCGGTAACCTCCCGCCGCCGCTAGAACTTCAGCGTTATTTCAGCGGTTGTCTCGTCCAATATACCTACGACCGTGTGCAACGATTCGCAACATCCGTTTGCGGTCAGCTATGTCTCAAGTTTCTGTACGCTCAATGTCGTCCGCGCACCGCTCGTTCACGTTAACCTTTCAAGGTACCGCGAGCGAGCTGGTCAGCACGTTTTTCCCCCCTATCCCGTTGCGGACCGGCGCGGAGATCGCGTTGCTCGACGTCATAGTGTGCAATTCCCGTCCCAACGTCGACGCGTCTAACAACACTTTGCGCGTGCGACGGTTGCCAGGTGTTCAAAAACGCGGTGCCAACATCGATATGTACGATGACACTGTCACCACCGGTACCGGTTCAGTGCAGATCAAATCGGACGCGCCGTCGCCGTTACCAGACGATGCCTATGACGACGTCGTGATACCCGTCGGGTCGTACGAGGTGTCCGCTTTGGCTCGCGTGCTCAAGTCACTAGTCGAAAACCTAAATCCCGATTACCGGTTCGCGCTTCATCCCAACGTCAACACGTTTGAATCGGAACTCCTGTGTAATCGCGACATCAGCTTCGCGGCCCCCAACAGCGTCGGCCCTCTATTGGGGTTTGAGCGGGTCGAGCTGCTGGCGAACACTTTGCACCGATCCGGTCGTCTGATCACCATCGATCCGCTTACGTGTATAAGAATCACATGCAACGTCGCGGCAGGTGCATTCGTCAACGGCGTTCGTAGTCGCGCGATCTATGACTTTTTCCCATCCGTCCCGCCCGGGTTTCAGATCGCAGAATCACCGCGTAATCTGATTTATTATCCAATAGCGACGGATCGTCTCGACCGCGTGCGGGTCACGATTACCGATCAGAACTCGAAGCTGGTCGACTTCCGCGGTGAACCAATCACAGTACGTTTACACGTGCGCGATGGGGTTGGTGTTTAAAAGCGTCCGCACGCGTCCGGTTCGGTACATTCAGCCGTCGACACGTTCCCGGTTAACACGGCAGAGCTTGCAAACGTTATCGGCGCTCGGCTACAAACTCGCCGCGAATCAAACCACCGTCAATGGACGTCGACGTTTTGGACATCACTCGGCGAGTCGAATTCGACGATCGCATCACTAAATACGAGTTTCACACTTATCAACCGTTCTCCAGCAACAGTCTAACGAACAACGATGAGATCCGCATCGCGATTCAACACCAGGACCTCTACACACTCCCTAGCGAATCACTGCTATGTCTGCAGGGATCCGTTGTCGTCACCCCGGCCACTGACACATCCGACGTGACCATCGTCACCAACGGATTGATGTTTTTGTTCGACGAGATTCGCTATGAGCTGAATTCAGTCGAAATCGATCGGGTGAGACAACCCGGCGTTGCTAGCACGCTCAAGGGGTACGTAACGATGCAGAAAACGGTACACGGTCGGTACGCGAACGCTGGTTGGTCGGCGAACACAACAAAAAAGTTTGATGTCGTTATACCGCTCAGGTTGATATTGGGATTTTGTGAAGATCACAGAAAACTCATAATTAACGCGCGACAAGAACTCGTTTTGCACCGTGCGAGCACCGACAGTGATGCTCTTACAACGAACGCGGCCGCCGCAAGCGTTGTGTTGGATCACGTTACGTGGAGAGTGCCGCACGTCAATGTAAACGATTCTGTTAGATTGCAGTTGCTCAAAGCGTTGGACGCGAAAAAACCGTTATCCATCGCTTTCCGTAGCTGGTAGCTATTCTCTTATCCGTCGCTCCCCCGGTCGAACAAACATTCCTGGGCGGTTAAGACGAGCACGCACACGGAAAAGCCGCGATACGTGATAGTAGCCTTGCAGACCGATCGGAAAAATAAACTCGCGACGAACTCCAGTCAGTTCGACGGATGCGGGTTGACCACGTTGAAAGTATATCTCAACTCTGAATCGTATCCGTACGATACGTTAAAAATCGATTATGCCGGTGATAAATTTTCGTTTTTGTACAACATGTATGCGAGTTTTCAAGAATCGTATTACGGCGTTCCGGTCGGAGAACCGTTGTTCACCGCAGCAGAGTTTAAGTCGACATCCCCCATCGTCGTTGTAGATTGTTCGAAACAGAATGATTTTGTTAAGAACGCACCGATTGACTTACGTATAGATTTTGAAACGGCTAGCAACGTGGCTGACAACACCGCTGCTTATTGTTTAATCGTACACGATAAAATTTTTGAATATAACGCTTTGACTAGCGAAGTGCACAAAATTTTGTAATACCAATTGATGATATAACAATACCTGTTTTTTTTTGTATATATATATATATATTTTTAAATTTAATATTCCTTTATGATTGTAAATATTTTTTAAAAATAAATAATCATTGCGTTAAAAATTTTTTTTTTTTTCCCTTTCCTTTCCTTTCTTTTAACCATTGATTGGACGGGTAACATACAAAATGAATACACAGTTTTTTTTTTTTTTTAGGTACATTACACATATTTATTTATTTCTATCGTTCGTCAAGATGATATATATATATAGTATAACAAACACACATAATATTAATCATATAAAAACAGAATTCGTTGTTACATTTTTTTATTTTTTTTATTTATGTGCCCGCGAAGCACAGGTCCGTCCGCCCGCCGTTTAATGATGCTGCTGCTGCTGCTGCTGCTAGCGTCGTCATTTTCTTCTTCTTCTTCTTCTCCCTCATAATCGTCATCGTCGTCGTCGTAGTCAGTGTTGTCGTCGTCATCGGCACTACTACTACTATTACTACTTTCAGTCTCTTCGACTGTGCTCTCCGCGTCGCTGTCGGGTAGTTCCATCACACTTGACGTGGACGACGATCTGCTCTCCTCCTCCTCCTCCGAAGACATCGTTAGATCTGGTGATAATGTAATTGGTCAATTTAGTTTTATACACTCACACACACACACACACACACACACACCAAGGTCGATGTACTTACCCACTACGTCGGTTAACGAGAACACCCTTTCTATTCGCAGCTGTATTCGCCTCACAGCTTCCGCTGCTGCCGCGTCTACCACCTGTTTCACATTTTTTTTTTTTTTTTACTATACGCTCCTTATATATATATATATATATATATATAATTATTCCCTTAATATAAAATCGACTTACGCTCATCGGTAGTAACTCTGGCAACCCGTTGTCATCATCATCGTCGTCGACGTTATGCACCCAATTGGTACTAAACGGTGGCGGCGAATTTGGCGGCGATGGTGGTGAATATCTGTAGTGCATTTTGATTTGGTTGTATGTGTGAATGTTATTAAATGGTTTAGCGTGTTCGTTTATATATGGTGTGTGTGGTTATTTCGTCCCTTCATTTTCTTTGTGTTATCATTGTACGCGGTCTAACGGGAAATAACCTTATCAGGTTTCGACCGTCATGTCATCCACACTATCGCACGGCGGTGGTGGTGGTGGTGGTGGTGGTGGTGAAGCAATGCTCCCACCGTCTGACTTGGTTACTGGTGTAGTACTCGTCTTCTCCTCCTCCTCCTCCACCACGTCGTTCCTGTTATAATTACTATGTACTAAAATATAATCAATAGGTTTTTTTTTATTTTACTTACTTATCTGTGTAACCGTCAAGTAACTCTGCTAAATTCCATTGTGAGTTAGGCATCATCATCATCGTATTAACATTTTCTCCCCATATTTCGTCGCACAGCCGTTTGTATTCTATGACCGCGATTTCTTTGTAATAACTTGGTTCTCGCGGTGGTAATCCGTGTACAGGATGATTCATCATTGCGGTGTACACCTCATCGACCGACATTGTTGCGTATCGATTTATCACCTCCACCGTCATCGCATTCTTCATCGTGCCGTATTGCTCCGTCAGGGCTGTACATATTTTCGCGTTATCATCAAGTGCCCGTACGATTGCTTCGCGATTCCACTCCAACGTTAACAAATTTTCTTCGGTCAGCGTAAGGCGGGTGTGCGCGTCGTTGATGATCAGGTATGACTTTGAAAAACATCTGGTTTTTTTAATGATAATACCGTCCGGCGGTTGTACGTGGAACGCCGCGCGTTGATTGCTGCCCACGAACCGCGTGAGATCATTAATACCCGTTACCAGTCCGACGATTTGATTTAAGCTCAAGTTCATAAATCCGTTGGAACACACAATCATCGCTGCCGGAGCATATCCCGTCTCCGTCCACGCGCATCCTATGTGTAAGAATTTTCTCTCCTTAAAACTTATCGTTATCACTTTGACCGCCAAGAGTTTCGTTTTCGGCTCTTCGCACGTCCGCTTACGTCTGCTGCTGCTGCTGCTCATGCGTATACCTTTCCCCTTTCCGGCCATTGTCGCTGTGGCAGTTCACTACTGTGTCCGTCGAGCATTGACGCTATACTAGCGCGGTTCCGTCACCGCGTTCACCCGTCCCCACCATGTGTGTGTGTGTGTGTGTGTGTGTGTGTGTGTGTGTGTGTGTGTGTGTGATAACAGGATTGTGATACCAGTAGTGAAAACAGGATTGTGATAACAGAATCGTGATATGGCCGTATCGAATCCTGTTATCACGCCCTGCTATCACGCCCTGTTATCACGACCCTGTTATCACGCCCTGCTATCACGCCCTGTTATCACGACCCTGTTATCACGCCCTGCTATCACGCCCTGCTATCACGCCCTGCTATCACGCCCTGCTATCACGCCCTGCTATCACGCCTTGCTATCACGCCCTGCTATCACGCCCTGCTATCACGACCCTGTTATCACGCCCTGTTATCACAATCCTGTTATCACGCCCTGTTATCACAATCCTGTTATCAGGCTCCTGTTATCACAATCCTGTTATCAGGCTCCTGTTATCACAATCCTGTTATCAGGCTCCTGTTATCACTATCACGACTCTGTTATCACGCCCTGCTATCACGCCCTGTTATCACGACCCTGTTATCACGCCCTGCTATCACGCCCTGCTATCACGCCCTGCTATCACGCCTTGCTATCACGCCCTGCTATCACGACCCTGTTATGGCGCCCTGTTATCACGCCCTGTTATCACGCCCTGTTATCACGCCCTGTTATCACGCCTTGCTATCACGCCCTGCTATCACGCCCTGCTATCACGCCTTGCTATCACACCCTGTTATCACGACCCTGTTATAACGCCCTGTTATCACGCCTTGCTATAACGCCCTGTTATCACAATCCTGTTATCACGCCTTGCTATAACGCCCTGTTATCACAATCCTGTTATCAGGCTCCTGTTATCACGATCCTGATAACAGGAGCCTAATAACAGGGCTACATACGGCCAAAACATACTACTTACAATAATTACTTAAATTTTATTCGCGTCTCCATAATATGTTTAGTCTTTTTTTTACTTACTTTTGCGTTGTATAAATTTATGATAATTTAGTCAGGGACTAGTTAACTAATCAATACCTTTCCGATAAAATTAAAACTCTGCCATTATGTGTCGAAGTTAAATAAAGTGTTTATATTTCAAAAGTTTCAAATGTCGCTATATTTATCACTATACAATAGTTGACGAAGATGAATCCCTGGTTTGATTGCCAAGATTGACTCAGCCCTTCCAGCAAATATGGTCGCAAAATTTTACATTGTACAACAGATATTTTTTAGAGATTTGAATAATTATCATTATCCTCATGTATTTTAAGGTAAGGTTCTTGAATCATTTTCTATTTGACTTGTTTTCCATTTATCAATAAATTAAAACATTTTTTTTTTTACAATGTTTTTAGATGGCCGGTATGTTCGATAGCACGAGCAACATTATAATATAGAATATAGACCTTAACAATACAATAATATTATCAGTTTGTTTTTTGTCGTTGTTCTCACGACCGTTAGCTGGAGGATCGAGACGTCCCCTCGTTGCTTAGACTCAAGAAGTAGTATAAGTTCGTTACAAAGAATAAAATACGTTTCAATTTTAAAATAAACATAGTACTTATTCCTGCCTTCGGACTTCATCTTGTAAAACATTCGATAATATTCGACAATATTATTAATACATATAATTATTAAATTATAAAATTTCTAGTAGTTGTATAGTATATAGTGTAGTTTTTTTAAATTCTGAAACTAAGATGTAAATTGTAATTATCTGTATATTCTTAATACGTTTAATAGTAGGAAAACTAAATATTTATCTTATTAGGATGTTAAGCTCTCGTGTTGTGGTTTGTGAGCAAACAAGTTATTGTACAATTATGTTAATAATATTAAGATGGCGATTAATTCGTGTTATACAACAATTACTAAAATTTTTTTCGCGTCTCCATAATATGTTTAGTCTTTTTTTTACTTACTTTTGCGTTGTATAAATTTATGATAATTTAGTCAGGGACTAGTTAACTAATCAATACCTTTCCGATAAAATTAAAACTCTGCCATTATGTGTCGAAGTTAAATAAAGTGTTTATATTTCAAAAGTTTCAAATGTCGCTATATTTATCACTATACAATAGTTGACGAAGATGAATCCCTGGTTTGCTGCAGCTTGGAAAGAATATCTTTTAGATCCGGAAGACTTATAGTGGCGTACAACAATAATTTAAAGTTGATCTTGTTTATTCTTCCTCTATTATTACCTATAACTAACATTTTAAAACAGATTAAAATTAATAAAATGTTTAAATGGGTTAAATATTGAACGTTAGACGTATATAAGAGATTAACGTATATGATATATATATATATATATATATATATATATATATATATATATGCTTATTTATTTGAAAGTACTTTATAACTTTCAGTTGATAAACAGTTCTTTAAAGTCGAAAATTCCTGAAAACCTGTGACCTCCGCGATACCAATATGCCGAATCGTGGGTACGTAGCACTGATCCTACTGAGTACTGGTCTGTTGTTATTTTTAGACTATTTTGGAAAAAACTAAAATTTCAAAATGTTAAATAATATTTTTAAAACAATGTTACATTATGTGTCGTACGCAGTACGATATTGTATACATTTGTGTAGGTATAATTATTTTATAATACAAATTGAACTACGAAACATTTTTGTGAAAGAAAAAATACAATTTAAAATCATATATATTTTACTTAACCCCGACTCTGTTCTAACGACTAATAAATAAATTATTTATAAGCAATAAACTATTATTAACCTAACCTTGTATTATGAAACCTTATATCTGTGGCAACGCGTTTTACCCATAGTTGAGGCGTTAAGCGCAATAGTAGCCTAACCGACAAAAATTAAATAACTAAGGTTATGATATATTTGTGTTCAAAATTAAACATATTTTAATACAAAACCAGTCTATTTTTCATTTTTTTTTTATTTTTCACTAGATATCAGCACTGTATACGTTGTTGCATTAATAAGTTCCATGATGAAAATTAAAAAACTGTAATACTCCTGGAAACCATTTTAAAGCATAGGCCACTGTTGCGCTGAATGCTTTAGTTAATAGGAACAATAAATAAAAAAACATGTCTAAGCATAGTAAAAAAAAAAAAAGTATTTAAAATAAATTACTATTTTAAAATCCGACGACCCTTTTAATATCACTAGAGATGGAAACATAGTATTTAAACGGTAAGTCGAATACCGAACACATAAAATCATAGTTACCGGTTAAACCTGGATGTAATTTTAACCAGCCAATTATTTTAACGCGGTGTTCAGCGAATACTTTATGGGCCAAAGTTCCAATAAAAATAAATCCTTTGTTGCGCTTGTCTGCAAAATTCCATATCGCATCTATAACCTGACGTATGTTTAAGGCTTTCATTAAATATCAATTACACAATTCTATAAAAATAAGTTTGAAATGGTACCATTAAGCATTTATGAAAAGCCAGCACAGTCCAAACCAAACGTATCAGAAAAGTTAGAAGTAAACAACGTATACTATAAACTAAATGTTTATAAAATATCGAGTTTTTTTTTGTTTACTTATCAACATAAACATTAGAATAAATACCGTCAAACGAGCCAACATGGAGCATTATGGGTAATTTGGGGCATCGGTCAAATATATTATATTCTAATGTATATATTTTTACACATATGCCCCAAATTACCCATAATGCCCCAAGTTGGCCCGCTTGACGGTAGTTATCCTATTTGAAAATATTAATAAAAACACATGATTATTATTATTCATGTTTTAGACTTTTGCTAAAATTATGGTTACCTGATCTGTTTCCTCTTCGGTAAGATCGTCAAATCTAGCTTCGTTTAGATCAAATTCCGTTTCTTCTGACTGACAATTAATAATAATTAAGCACGCGGTATTGTTAGTTTACGAGTCAATTAATAAAAAAAATTATTGTGCTGAATCATTTAAAATATGAGTTTTTGTGCCATCGATACTCGCTCCTTTCTATCAACGGTTTGAGTGTATTTTATAATGTTAGGCGCCACTTACACCGGAATACATGTATACGTGGTTATTGGATTCAGATTTTCAACAAAAAACTATAACACTGTAATGCTTTAGTCTCAATGCGATAGCTGAAAAGTTATTTCAGTTTATAAGTGGACATTATAAATGGGGCACCTATATTGGGAACGGAGTGTTTTCAACATTTTTAAGAATTAGTATCAATGAGAGTATGATAAAATAATTATTGCGTTTGTAATCTTTTATTTTTATTTTTCTTCGGTAAAATAAAAATACTGCCCCGGATTGTTTTTGAGTTGAGAATATTTAGCTGAGCATTTAAACTAGATGATTATGGAAACTTCATAAAATACATTAAAAAATTATTTAGAATCACAACAAAACTGGTTACCTGTTCAGCCTTCTCTACAGACAATTCGACCGTTTTTCCCATCTGATAATTATTAATAAATATAAAACACATAACAATTAGATATTTCGCCTTCATTTTTTTCCTACTAGTTAAAAAATTTTAATTGAGGCTAAAAATGTACGAGTGTCATACTATGCCGTGGCTGGTGTGCAGAGTACTTAAACAAACTATAGTTTACACATATGGTAGTTATACGTTTTTTTCTTTTTTTTAGCTGTAATAATAAATTAGAATTATTTAATAATACGTTCAATAGTATTATTTAAATACGATTATTTTGGTAAGACAAATTATTTACTCAAAACAACTTATAAAGTATAATATTATGTACATACAATAAAGAGTACGTCGTTGCGTTTATTATTTTAGAAAACCGACCGCAAATTTCTTAAAAAACTAACTGCTGGTTTTGGACAAACACAACTTGGAAATCCTAAATGCCCACAATTTACAAACCATTGAACACAATTTTTTTCAATTTTTCAGACAGTTTACACCAATTTTAGAAATTTGAATTTAATGAATTCTGAAGTTTATTTATATATATATATATGTTTAATACTTAGATTTACTGTAAAAAAAATAAAATGTTATGTTTATTTCCTTGTGGTATAACAATAATAATCTGTTCGTTTGTGTTTGACGCAAAAGACAATGTTATTTGTATAACAACAAACCGATACATATGTTTCTAATAATATAAAACACTTATGTAAATTCGAACATAAGTTTCATATTTTTAGCTTCGTTGCAGTGCTAAAACGGTAAACTGTATATGCAACGTTGTGTTTAATTTGTGCCTCGATGCGGAGCTTAGAATGTATTGTATTTACAATGATGTATTTTAATATATATATATTTTTTTTGTGTCTGTACCTACGATGTGATGTCTTGTAAACCTCTGATCCGATTTCTTCGTGCAGCAACTGTACAGATCAGAAACCATACCTGCATGGCACTTTAGTGTGCCAAAAATAAATAATAATTCAACCCTTCCCGTTTAAAATAAAAAATTTACATATTTTACAAACTAAAATAACGGCGCTCCGTATTTTTTTGTTAAAAATAGTTCCAAATTTGTATGGAATATTCTTTTAACACACTACTACTGTAAACACAGTATTACCGATAAACATTGACGAACCAAAAAAATATCGTAAACCCTTTTCTCTAACAGGGATAGGCACAAAAAAAAACCACATCATTGCAAAAGCAAAAGTCTCTTGGCTCCACGTCCAAGGTAAACGTATTTATACGAATAAAAATCGCCATTTTTACCACAACTGTAGAATCTGTCACCATATTTTGGATGTTCGATCCGCAATAGTAAAAAAAAAAAATTTGAGTGCAATGATATAAAAGTATAGTGCAAATTGCAAGTATAAAAAAAAACTAGTTATTTTCTCCGCTCTGCAGAAAAACATTAAATCGTGGATATTATGTGATCTCTTATACGTTATCACTTATATTTGTCTTTTAACTCTTATCCCTAATCTTTTATCACTTATCTCTTCATATTTAAAATATATTTTTTAATATTGTCACGTGAAAATAGCAACATTACATTTTTTGTATCCAGCCCAATAGCATATCCATGTTAAAGCCAGTACAGTGGGTTTGAGGCACGAGTATGCTATAGGGGCACAGATATAATATATGAATTATTAAAACTCAATGTGATAACATTACCCTCAAATTATTGCTTTGATACGGATCTGTAATAGTAGAAACACACATATCAATAAAGGCATTGTACCCAGTAACAATAATGTTTATAAAAATGTATTTCTGTTATTAGGGTGAATAATTCTATACTAAAAATTCTTTTAGAAAATTAGTGTAATTTAATAAACATTCGGTTCGCTACATTATAAAATATTAAAGATACTTTGTGTAAGTTGAAAATTATCACAGTTTGCGCCATTTCCCGACACTGCTAAGCTGGTTTTCTAAACCAAGTATTAGAAATTGAACATTCGTCTATCCATCGAAAAGATAAACAATTTAAAATAACTGTTGGTTAATTATTTGTAAATAAATTTCTTTTTATAATTTTCAACGTATAAAATGAGGTCTTAAGAAAATCATAGGTTGACAATATTCTCGAATCAGACATTCTGTTTTAGGTTTTTTTCACACAGATCTTGGGATTTATTCTTTTGCAACCAATACATGTATGATTTGAATATCCACCCAACAAAATATATTACAGTTAAAAAAATATCATGTGTAAAAACACAGACAATGATTACGTGTACCATTTGTATACGTAGTCTTCTGGTTTGACTATTTGTATTAAAATGCAAACGATTTGTGATTTTACAAACGTAATACTGTAGGCACTCGACAGCAAAATGAGTGTTAAAAAAGTTTTAAAACAAAATCAAAATTAGAAAAGCTAGTACACTGTTGATGGGGCATAGGGGGGGGGGCGAGGGAATCACAGGACTAAAATAATTATTACAAGTAGAAACATATGTAAATTTATCGGTTGTTCTTTGTAATTACAAAAATCAAGTTGTACCTTTTTTGTGTATACAAGTGTCCCACAATCTACATTATCGAGTATTTTAATGCCCTACACTATTTAGATTTTTACAAGTGTTAGAGTTATTAGCATTAGAAGTAACAGACGTGCGGTGAAGGGGTAAAATATTTTTTCGGTCATTTTGCAATCTTTAAGAGATGCTTAAGCCAATACTGAGATAGCTGTACATCTAAATTCCAGTAAGAATATTTGAATGATATGAAACTGTCAACTGATAACTAAATAATATCCGATGCTTGTTCAGCTGTAGTTAGAGTTAAAAACTTAATCAAAGAGTTTTTTGTTTGTTTTTTTAACCAGCCCATAAAAACACAAGGGGGACCAGTTTTCAGTAATACTTCCCTAATCAAAGAGTTAATTGTTAAGTCAAGACTTATTTATTGTCTCTTACAAGTAAGAGACAATAAACTATGAGAATAAATTTGATTTTTTTTTCTCTTCACTTGTATAAAGTAACAATAAAGTAGTCGACGTTTAGATTTGTTGTATCCAATAATACGCAGAGATCTCTGCAGTGTGGCATTTATTATTTAATACTTCTATTGCTTATTTATTGTCAACAACTTATTAGCAAATCAATATTTTTATCAAATAAACTTCAAAAAATTTTAATTATCACAAAAAAAAACCCACAATATCTGGTTTGAGCTGCGTACTTATCATTTGCAAATTCGCATCGAAGCATTTTATTGTGATAAAATCATATTTAGATTTGACAATTGCTTTGACCCAACTTTGCTAACTTTTGAGAGACTTCTGACCGTACCCGATTTATCCATCTCTCTATATTTGATTGGTTGTGTGGCCAAGAAAACGCTTAAATGTGAACCTTTGGATACCGGACCCTCTGTAGTTTAATAAGAAATACAATTTTTTTATTATGTAATTTTAATACAATGTGATCTCAATTTTTCACAATATTTTTTTACCTCTCTCCTAAGTTTTTTTGATATCATTTTTTGAAACTTAAATGTCAACTTTTATATTTCATCAATTTTTTAAAATTAGAATTATGTACTAAATCTAATGTACTATTGCACATTGTAGAGGTGTGCCCTATCACAAAGTTTGAAGAAGGGCTGGAAAAACTGCACGAGTATGGCCCAGACGCAGCGAAATGGCTTGAGGAACTTGCTGTGCGATTATAATTATTTAATTTCTAGTTTTATAATTGTTATTTATTTATTCATTTTTGTTTCTAATTATATTTTTTATTGTTCATTTTCATAGAAATTTATCATTTTTTATATTGTAAAAACAAGATTATGTTGAAACAATTAAAATATAATAAATAAAAAAAAATCATTTTTGATTATGTTAAATTTTATTTGAAATTGTTACCATATATATAAGCCGATATGTCATATGCATAAATAAATGTACTAAAAGTGTTGACGGCTATTTCAAATAGGCATTTATTTATTTATAGTACGGAGGAGCTGAAACAATTAAGTTTTTTACCGGTTATCTATTAACCTCTAGAGCCTAGAGTGAAATAATACCAATATTAGGCGCCCATATAGGCTGCAAAGAACGCCCTATAAGAGAAGCGAGTACATGCCTGTATATATATTTATATTATGTAAAATAGAGCTTTGTATAATAGTTAAATGTTATAAAACTGGTATTTTCAATAACTTTTGTTTACCTGAATCAATAGTGAAGTCACAAAAGTCGTAAACTGCCTATTCCATACACTCATAGCTGTCAGTTTTATGTCAGTATAATTTTTTTTATTACCATACTCAAAAGAATACTACCACATTATTACTAGAAAATCTTAGATTGATAAACTTTTTTTTTTGGTGATTTTTTTTTCAAAATGTTTTTAATATTGTTGATATAAGTGTTTGTATTCCTTAGTTTATTAGTTAATACATAAATACTTTCATATTTTAACATAAAATACATTTCTAACAAGTCACATTTTTGATGTTTTGTAAGAACCTTAAATTAAAATTAAACGATATTATGGTATGTGATAATAAAGATAATGATAACAGATTAGAGTAGGCATATAACATAAGTATAGTTTACATAATAAGTGGTATATTCAAACAAAAATACTGTGTCATTTTTGAATTGCCGCAGTTGGACATTTGTATTGATTTGTCATATACATTTTTTTATTTAAATCACACGTTAGAACAGTTATTCTCATATTTTGATAAATTTGTTTTTTTTTTACTAAAGAACAAGTTTTACGGTAACATATTATACTGATGAAACTAGGTATTACAAGTGATAATACACAACGAGTGGCATAACAAAATACTAGTATATATATATTGCATATTTCTATATATATATATTTATTGAATTGAACGACAGTGTCTAATTAAGTATGAGACGGCATATTATTATGACAAATTATTGAAACATTATTTGTGAAACGTTTTAATCGTTTTGATTAAATTTGTGGGTTCTTCTTAAAGTAATAACTTATCGGAAACCACGCTGGATCAAATGTCCATCTCTGCAGGACTGAAAGAACTCCACATTTCTTGTTCCATGCTTCTTCTGAAGTTCGCGAAATTTAACATGTACTGTCCACCTAAAAATCACAAACAAGACAAAATATAAAGTTTGGATTACTAAAAATAAATATTAAAATGTTTTTTTAAACAAGTATACATACAGTTTACTTGAGAATAGATGCAGCTATTAAAAACCATAATACATACCATTCCATTGATAGTCGAAATGTTCCTCCCAATGGTTCCTTTCGGCAGAAGTAGCCCCTAAACAGAAAACGTATAAAAGGTGTATAAGATATTGTTGAAAAAATCTGACGTCAATCTGGTGACATTATTAAAAATCATAATCACCACGATATTGTCCGAATTTTTTTAAAATTTTTCTGAGTGTATATAAGTCTGTGTGTGGTTCTTTTGTCTTGTAATATTTAACCATGTCATCGAGTAAAATATGGTTTCTTTCCACATCCTTTGGGAGTATATCCTTAAATAAAGTATACATCGCCTAAACGGGTTTTTTTTTTTAATACAAAACTCATACAATTTTGAACACTAATATTTACTACCTTAACTGCATCACATAACAGATTTGGAAGATAACCTCCGTTTATAGCTCTGGTGAAGCCATTGAGATTCATTCGGCGTTGTCCATCTGGAAAACATCAATATATCATAATTCATAAACTACATTTATAAACGACTAAAAGTAAAACAAAATAGATATTAAAATGTTTTAGTGAAGTGTAAAATTTCCAAGAAATATGGAGCTAAATAGAATAATCAATAATGGTATTTTTGAACTTGCATGATGTACAAATATATAGGTATCCTATTACATTAAAATTGCTATTAATAATAAAGAAAAAATAATAATAAATAAAAATAACAACAAAAAAAAATGTATAATATGTTATTTTGTATTTAATAATTTTAGTTGAAATGTGGACAACGACGTAATTTGTAATTATTTATTGTGTAATTGAAAGCTAAATGTTACTTTACAAATAAATGTAGTTACAGCAGCACTATTGATAGTGGGTCAAATTATTTCCTTCTTAAGACCTACACAAGTTATTTTGTATGTATAAAACACCTATAAGTAAATGTTGGGTTAGGTTTAAAACTACAATATTTCTAGTGAAAACTGTGTGTATGCCTTCAATGTACGGTCGTTAAAAGCAGTAGTTAAAAATCATATTTACCTTGCGTTTCCCCGTAGTTACGTATAATATATTCAATATGAGTCACAGGAATTTTTGTTTTATAATATTCAACTAGTTCTTCGAAGGAAATACTATTTCTGTCCTCTGTTTCTAGAGTTATTTTCTTAAATTCATCGTTTATCAACTGAAAGTTTTTTTTAAGTAGTTAAATACATGTTCCATTATTTCGTTTACAACTTATTATTACTTCTAGGAAACCGACGCATACAAATTGCTTCCATTTCTTATCGTAACTTTTAGGGTCATAAACTATCAGTTAGGTTATGCATTGCATGTAGCCGATATTTTACACAGAAGTTGCCTTACAAGGGTATACAAATTCCCTCCCACGGTTCATTTTAAGCAAAGAAAAGTTTTATAGTTTTACATACACACTTATAATATGTAAGTTTGTACTTTATTTTTAAATAATTATACATAGTATATGTTTCACAATGTATGTGCAGTATACTATAGCTAATGGTAATAGTACTAATTGTGCATACTGTTATAACAATAACAAACCATCAGTCTATGCGTTTTAAATGTACTACTCATAATTTGTCTATTAATACTCTGTCAAATAAAGTTTCATGTTATTGATCCTTAAGGGAAAGTTTTCCATGTTTTGGTTATGCAGTTGCATCGTCGGAGGCAACTAGTATTGAACTTTGACGACTATACGGAGATGGGATGCAATAATTATGCACCGTAGATAAGAAATCAATTAATTGATAATCTTATCTACCTAATCTAATCTATGCTAATCTATAGCAACATGTATGGACATTATACTACGTTTATCGAATTATCATTTATAGGCTTAACTCTACTGTTATTCGCCTTTATTAGTCTGTTGGGTAGTAATACCATTAATTATAAATATTAATATTTATTAATATTTATAGTCAATGGTAATACCCAGTTTTACTCCATTGTAACTGGCGAGTGCGCACAATTAAAATATAATTAGAAGTAACATAATACTTTTCACACACCTTTTTACTAAATCTTGGTATGTAACCATCAGACCCGGCCCTTTGAAAATCATCAATTTTCATTCTGTATTGATCATCTTCAAATATTGCCTCTAAACATACATTTTTTTTCTATTACAGTACAATTTTATAGTTTTCAAGCTTAAAAGTATATTTTCGTCAACTATTTAAATAAAAATACCTATTAAGATTCAAATTACATAATTTACTATTTTTTTTTTAAGATTTTCTTACTTATGAGTTTGCATGTTACTTTTAGAGTGGTACCTAATTCAAGAACTAAAATACTATAGCGTTAACATTTTACCGTCTTCTAAATTGTGTTCGGTTCCGTAATTTTTCGCAGTGTTTTGAAATTCAATGTCGTTAAAGCCACCATAGTAAAAACTCATGTGTACATCGCTAACATAATCCGATTGTTTATTTTTCATCTTGTTAAATAGATGTTCTATTTCCTGAAAATAGTAGACAACAAAATATAATATGTGATTCGAGACTGTTTTTAACTAACTCGACAAACTATTTTTACTCTATTGTCTAATTTACGCCAACAAAATATAAAATTAATATTTTAAAAAGTCCAAAAAATGTCCTAAAAATAATTTACCATCTCAACGTGGATTTGGTCTTCCTATAACACCCTAAGGTAATTCATATATACATATTTCTAAATAATTAGGCAGACTTGTAGAATTTATTAAATTGTACCTTAAACCGTCAAATTTGACACTGCGAATCGGTTCACGGTCATTTCCCCAAATCCAAAATCCCGAAAAATACATACAAATACAAAAGTACTACATGACCAGGACTAGTGTCGTGTATTCTTCGATATTTTTTAATTCTTTAATTTCAACTTTAATAATAACTCTTTAATATGTTAATTTTGCATTTTTACAATGTCTGTAAAACTGATGTTTGGGAAACTTGGTATTCCTCGCAAAAAGTGACGTACGTCTTCTAGATGGCACTTTCAAGATTTGCCCTTGTAGATACTCGTAACCTAACTTTATCTACTCCTAACCTAACCTATTCCACTCATTTTCATGTTTCTCCATCGAGTTTTTAAAATTTTGGGCATCGCCAAAAAAGGCGCAGCTTTGAGAAGAAAAAGTTCTCGAAACAGCTATGCCTTACGTAATCTGCGATGATAGAGATCCAAATGAAGTAGGCGGACACCGATGTAGTTATATAAGATTTTAATTATTTTAGAGTACGTTGACTCCAACGCAGGGCTAAACTGTCGAGTTCCTTCGCATCTTGGGACTCAATCGTTCTATACATTTTTTATAATTGACAATAAATCCACAAATAAACTATACCCAATAGATTTTTTGTCGGGGTAGCAACTTGTCGGGATAATGGTATATTGGGATTTTGAACGGTGATCCTGTGAATTAGATGCTTTTAGTCAAAAACCTTGCTAAACCCTGCTTATTTGAAGGGGAAGTGGGGAAGGGGTTCACAAAAGTGATAAAAAATATTATATTTCATGTGCATACTATGTATCTATGTGCATAGGTGAACTTAATGTGTTCATGCAAATAGCTAATATAATACAAAAATAAAACAATTCATACCGCCCGAATTGCAATTTCATCACGCCAAGGTTTTGGAAGATCACCAGTGTTTATGGCCTTTCTAAGTGCAGAGAAATTTAAATGTTTTTGTCCAACAACTAAAAATCACCAACATAACATAATTACTATGTACAAATTATTATAAATAATATTAAAAACAATATTAATACTGATAGTCGTTTTACAACGCAGACCAAACAACAAGGTTTAAAATTATTTCAATGATCGCGTAAATGTTGAAACTACAGTTGTAAATATTTCTAATAAAAGTACAAAACTCATTATTTACAGAACATTTGCTCTTTACCGTATTTGCTTATAACATATTCGATTTGAGGTAATGGAACTGTTAGTCCATAATATTGAATCATGTCTTGGCTGGTAATATGGTCTCCGTTTTTTTTGTTTGCGATTATTTTATTGAATACAGCATCGATTGCCTAGACATTTTTTTAAAAACTCGTATAAAATTATTATTAAACAATTTTGAATAGTTATATTCATTAAGCATAATATCATTGTGTTAAAACAATAATAATAAAACACAATAATTAACAAATCACCTGCTTAGAACATATGTTTATGCAGCCTTCAGACGCAGCTTTTGTAAACTCCTTTAAATCCATTCTGTTTTCACCTTTACCTAAAAACCACCATACTATGAAAAAACCCAGCATATTTGAGTTATAAAAAGCTGTAGTATAAAGTTGAAAATGATGTAAATTTTTGTTTTGTTTTCTATTTTTAATTCAAACATAATATTTTTCAATACCGTTAATGTACCTTTCATGTACGATTTCTAATATAATAATAGTCATTCTTCGCGAAGCAATTGGTTCTAATATCTATACACCTGCTGCATGAAGAATTCGGTTCGATGGTTTAGGGCATATCAAAGGACAAGTTGCAAAAAATACAAAATGAAAACACATAATTGTATAAACAATAGCTTCACAGCTTGATAAAATATTCCATTTTTTCGGGGTGACATAAATGTGACGTGTAATACAAATTAATCAAGATTACTTTGACTTTCCGCCGTACACTTGTGGCCATAAGTCTCTATTACGCTTAAGAGTTCACTTTGATCTTCGTCTTTATAATAACTACGGAAATGATCGTGGTTAATAAAGTCACTTTCGCCTCTTATCGTGTCCCATAGAATTTCTATTTCCTGAAAGTCGTAATGCAATAGTATAATAAGTGTTTTTTTTTTTTAGCCAATTTCATAAACAATTTTTTACTATTTTGTGAAATACTATTGTTTTAAGTTTTGTTTTCCCTAAATAATCCGTCAGAGAGTACAAATTAAATTATTTTTTGTTGGGAGGAGTGGGAATAGCAATTTTTTTTTTTAATTTAATAATAATACTTCTTTGTTCAAGTGTGTGCTATGAGTTGTCAAACAATATAATAGAGTTTCGAATTTCAAAAAAACCGAGAAACAGACGTTTGCTACTCCCACCTTGCATACATTCTGCTTATACTGGCGAAGTACATACTAATGCAAATAATACACAACAGTACATGCATAATATGCAGGTATGCACGGGTATTGGTGCACTAATAACTGTGAAGATTATAATAAACTGTTTGTATAAAAAATAAACAAAGAAGTTAATTTAATATGTATTGAAGTTTTAGATTTATTTGTTTCCTGATGTTATATGTAATAGAAACGGGGAGGTGAGTTTATAGGGACACTATACCTCTCCACGTTCTACCTCATATAGACAATAAACCCTCTATTTAAATAAATACCATTAATTTTAAGATAATAATAATAATTTGTTAATATGAATAAGGAATCGTTGAAAAATCTATAATTACCACTTCATCCATTGAGTCAACCTTTGGAATATAATACGTTAAACAAAACAATAAAATATACTTTGTAAACATATTTTTAATTAAACTTTTTCGTGCTTATAAAGATAATATATTTTTTAGAAGAAAGCCAACACATAAATGGTTCTTATGCTGAATAATAACCGATTATTTTAGTAGATGTATTTTTTAGCGACGCAGCTTCAAGACACCTGTGTTTATATAAGGTACTTGTTTTCTTATGATTTATTAATTTGGGCTTTGTATGGATGAAGAGCGTAAAGTAATATTAAGTCTACTATAATAACGTATTTGTTTAACGACGTTTTATAAAATATAGCATGAATAAAACAAAAACATTTCAACTATTAAATTGCATATTTACTATAACATATCGGAGACAGTTTATTAGGCCATGCAAGGGCCATTACTGCCGAATGTCAAACCGGTAAATTGAGTGTGCTAACATACTGCCACTCCCATACAGCTTTTAATCCATGTAGGGCCATCACTACCTACCTAGTAGAGATTATAATTTATAAAAAATGTTTTAAAATTATCCGCAAATTGAACATTGTCTATGTGAAGCCATGACAGTAATCATCATAATAACCGAATACATTTTCGGTGGCTGTTTTACAAATTCTTTACACTTTGGTCCTTTAAATATTTATACATTTCATTGAGTTGTTGTACTTTTTATTCAAAGGTCAACATATAATAAAATACAATACATTTTAATTGAAATATTAGATCTGAGCATTAACATGAACAAAAGTCACTTTATGGAAAGAGAAAGCCAAATAATCAAGTGCAAGTATATAGTAGTATATATGTAAATATGGGTTCTTCCATGTATAATCAACACAATTTCTTTTAATTTCTGACTGTATCAATTTTTTTTCGTTTTCAATAAAAGGGATAGATTTTTTTTTCTTAATTTTATTTTTTCGAGCAGTTTTGGGGATTTAGTTCAGAAAACTAAGATCTAGAATGGAACTATAATATACACAATTTTCTCAACAACATCTGTGGTCAATCTTTTTTTTTTTAAGGAAAACCCCGAAAAAAGGGGAAAATTACACTTTGACCGCAGTCGATTTCCAGGTTGCTATGTGTGAGTGAGTAAGCAGGCAATGAAAATATTTCATTATATTGGCAGACAGATGATCCACCCTAATCGTATCCACCCAGTGCTTGTTTAAAAATGATTTTATCACTTTCAGTTTTAATAATAATTCCTGTAGACTTATGACCTCCACCTGCCCACTACGCCACGACCTAACTGTACTGGCTTTGTTTTTTGGAAAAAATTTAACGAGTAGAACTATTATTTTCTAACGTGTACACATTTCTTTAACTAGAGACCCAAATTTGGGTTTCCAAACCATAATGTCTGAATTTTCGTTGTATGAAATGCGCTAGTGTTTTATGAAAAACGATAAAGTGTGTAAGCAACACACGGTTGATAATATTTGATTAATAGATTTTTAAAAATCTTATACGATGTTATCATTAATTTTCTAAATAATTGTATATTCGCTTTCTTAAACGGAAACGTATTGAAACACGTTTCAAGATGTGTTATTTATTGAAATAAGAAGAAAACTTATTTTGATGGGTTGTTTTGTATGCTTATTCAAACAGTTACAGTCATAGGCCAATGTACTAAAAAAGAAACTATTCAACAAAAACAACAACTCTTAAATCGACCTAGTTACATTATTTGAGGTCCATTTATTTTGAATGCTCTCGTGGAATATTTATAAATTAATATAAATAAGTATAAATATTAATAATAATAAGGTTTTTTTTTACAAATCGTGTGATATAACAAACAAAAAAAAACCATTAACCTAGAAAGTGGCAAATATTTTTACAAAAATGAAATTTAACCATCTTGAGTTGGCGTAATTAAATATCAATATATTTTCAGTGGAATTAAACTTGTAATTTCTACAACAGTTTTTGGCTTTTTTGGCACTTCAATTTTTATCATAATCCTTTTTAGTGACATGCAAAAACCACTAAATACTAAAACATTTTTCAAAATTAAATTTTAAGTTTTTTAAAAAATATGGTACATTTTTTATGTAACCACTGAGCTACTAGGGAAGTATTCTAGAGATGGACCATCCACCCCCTATGTGATGTATCTAACCTATGTTTTAGGCTTTCGAGTTATCAAACAGGGTTTCGAACACAATTATTTGGATTTGAATTTCACAGTAATAGTTTTCAGAACTGATTATTAGTCGGTAGAACAATTTACCTACCTAAACGACGTTAACCGATTTAAAATGTGTTTCATAAACAGCTTCACTATGTACTGTACCTACGCTAGGAAATTTGACAATATTTTTGTAGTTTTCAGTAAAAAAACACTTGATATATACATACTACATATACATAATATCGTAAAAAGGCGTTCGCATAGTATGTTCTTTCCCGAATTCCAGCAAGTATAATAATTCCAGCCATTGCATCAGCCCCATTGAGCCGAAATTACAATGTTTTGTCAAATGTTCAACTAAAAAATCCTAAAATTACGGCTAAATGACACAAAACACCTTGCAACCCCCGTGGGGGGTTGGAAAATGGGTAAATTTTTTAATTTGAGACTAATGACGTATAGGAGAATATCGTGTTAATATTCCTTATGAATTTCAACTCTGTCTGACCATTTTTCTCGAAATTGGAGCCAGTAAAAGTTTAAACTTTAATTTCAAATCCATCCAACTTAATGTCAGATGGATAGATTTTGTGATTTATAGAGTTGCTACACAAAATAATTGGTCCGGTATTAAAAAGTTACAATGTATACAGACTCAAAAAAAAGCTCACATCATTGCAAAAAACCAATAGCATCGGCGCACGTGATTTAAAAGTGACAACCGAGTTCAAAAGTAAACGAAGATTTAAAAATATGATTTTTTATTAGAAGTGTTGTTCATCGAATTCTCGCCTAAGCGTTTACTCGGTACCACAATTTTTTTACTTTAGAAAAACACTTGGGTTGTTCGATGTGCGTTTTTATTTCCACTGTAAACATAAATGAAAATATAGTAACCTAACCCTGACAAATACTCAAGGTGTTTAGAATTTCATGATCCACCTGACTTGTTGACGATTTTTTAAAACTATGAAGCACGACCTGTGTGAATTAATTTTGTTATTTAAAGGTCATTGTGTTTTTCCACTTTCGGTGATAGAATTTAGGGAGGCGTGATATTGGCATCTCTGTCAGCAACCTGTATATTGATTTAGATATGCATGTTGAGTTTTTTTTTGGTAAAATGGAACTTGAATGAACTTTTAAAAGTTATAAATCACCAAAATGATTAACGTTTTAAGACCATTTATTCTAATGAAAATAACAACTAACATTCGCAAGAAATGGAAATTTGTCAAACGTTGCTAAAAATATTTGCTATGTTCATTGTTTTTGGCGGTTTTGGAAATAATGAAAATAATATACAATATTCCTTGACGCACGTCGCTTTACACGTTAGACGTTAAAATGTTAAAATAACATATTTTTGTTATCAATAGTGTGTAAGTAATAGATACAAAAACCACATTTGAACCAAAGTTTTTTTGGTTTTTCGCTATTATTTAAATAAACACAACGGTAATGGCTTTGTTATTTGCCAATGCGTCTGGTTTAAAAATAATAACATGTTTTTGAAGAAAAAAAATGCCAGCACAATTTTCATACCTGTTTGCTTTACAAATAATATTGAATAAAAAAAAAAACGTTATGAACATTACTGACGTACTAGATGGTTAAAATAACAAAAATGAGTAAACTTTTTCAAAATTTTACCCAAAAACGTACAGCCGTAATTACAACCGTATGACCAAAGTCTGATGTTTACTGTTTTTCTTATATTTTTTAATAAATATCATTTTGGCACCATACGAATGACAATATTCTTTATCATCAACACGATGACTATGTTTGGACTCTCTTACAATCGTCTGTCCCTAGATCTATTCTCTACCTGTATTTGGTGGGTCGGATTATGCCGGGTTGCACCGAATATTTACACAGAGATAAGCTCATTTAACTGGAGTTAAAATACATAGCATCTGTTGCTTAAACCATGTTTTAAATTTTATCTGTTGTTAAAAATGTCCTTTGTCACGAGTTACACTTACAAGGTCGTTTATCGCTGTGTAAAAATGTATGTATAGTTAAATCATTGTTGTCAATGTTTGCGTTAAAATAGGTAGTAATAATGGAAATACATGGGTCCCTAATTATTATTATCCATAGATTATCAGAATACTTAAGATGGATATATTATGATTTAATCAAATATATTATAACCGAAATTCGTATCATTCGTTGTCCTACTTTGATCTACAAAAAAAAAAAACTTTCAATCGAATTACAAAATTAAAAAGTAAACGTCCTATTCGGGTGTACTATTTACATACGATTTGCGCACATAGATATTTTATTATTTTATAACTACTGCCTGTAATAGGAACGAAGCCATTACAGTTAGGTTCAAGGGTATTTCAAAAACCATTATTCGAATGGTAATCGGATTTGTCACCAGATAAATTGTATTACTGTTTAACCGACACAACAATGCGATAATATGTTTTTTTTTTTTTTTAATAGCCTTTATTGGATAATATGATGGTTTGACATCGTGATAATATGTTCTGAGTTAATATCGTTAAACATTTAATTGACATAAATATTTTCAGGAAATGATCAAATTATATTTGAAAAGTTCAATAAAATGTTGAATCGCTAATGACTATTTTAAAGCTTTTTGGGTTTTTCCATCATTTTGAATTTTTTTACTTATTCCCGTTACATTTTTTTTTATCTATTAAATTATAATAAAGGGAATTTTCAAATGATTTACTGTACAACTTAGTAAGTTTCATAAAAAAAATGTAGATACTACATTTCACAATTTTATATAATATGTGTATCGTCAACCGTAGCAGCCGTATCGCGAAAAAAAAAAAAAGACCGACGTCATAAATATAGTTTAACAACTGTCAACTAAGGCCACCGTTTGTTCGACTGTTTATGAAAAATGTCACTATTTTACATAATTAACATTAGGTACTTTTAGTAGTTAGCATCAAAAATATTATCAAAATATCAATTGCTAAAGATTGCTCTGTATTTTCGACAGAATATTCTTTATT